ATGTACATTCATTTCAAAAGAGTTTCATATGTATAGTTTTTTATTTTAAGAAACTTCTCACTAATATAGGGTCAAAATGAGAAAAATTCATACATTAAATTTAATAACAATATTATTATGTGAAAAGATCTTAAATTGAGAAAGTTGAGAAGGATTAAGAGGTTGAATGTGCAGCTTACAATTTATATCTATACTTTCTATATTAAAAAATATTTCTCAAACAGAGTACGTATCACGTGACATCCCTCACATGCATTAGATGTATGTCACATCACCTTTTTAATGTATTACTAGCTAAAGTCCCGTGCCATGCACGTTTATCTTAAATCTTATATCGAATTATATTTGTTTATTATGATGTATTAACAAAAAAATTATTTTTAACCAAATAACTTAAATTTAATCTATATTCAATACCAAAGACATAAAAGTTATTAACCTTCGTGTTTTTTACTTCATATTTGTTATCAAAATAACTTTTTTAATGAAATGAATTCTATAGCCAAAAAATAAAGTTCAAGAAAAGAATGATAATAATATTATTCTAATTACCTTTTTTGTATATTATTGAAGATATATACAAATATTCTAGTTAATTGTATACAGATTGAATATGATTACCAAAATGAGAAGACAATGATATAGGTTATAAATTGAGATTTTTAATTTGATACACTTTTGTAAGTCTTATTGTAATATACTTCGTACGTATAAGTGAATCAATTGTAATTTTTAAAATATTTTGTTTACTATATTTTCCTTAATTATTTCACAAAAAAAAAAAAAAAAAAAAAAATCCTTAATTACATAGGAGACATTGCATTTATAAAAATAATAAAAAAAATTGCAGTATCCAAGTGACCTAAATATATGTATAAATGTATAATGTTAGTCAATGATTTTCTAATTTGGCAAATACTCTTTTTTTGAAGAAATATATGGAAAATCCTATATATAATCAATCAATGAATATTTAAAAAAAAAATTGGATTTTTTTTTAAAGTTGGAGGGAAAAAACAGCACCAAGAATTGACACGTTCATTCCTGATGTCTGTTTTAGTATTATGGTATCTTTTTTAGTATTATGTTATTGATGTGCCACATCATCATTCATCTAGTATTATAAACATGTTTTAATGGCAATAAAAATGTTTATCACAAGGTTTAAACACAAGACCTATCTATACTATCTTTTGATTATGTTTCATATTCAATTATAATATAATGAATATTTTGTATAAAACATCAATTTGTGAGCACTTATTTAGTTTCATAGTTATTATTGTTCACTTTTCTAAAATTATATAGATTATTTTTTTCAAAAAAGAAATTATATAGCTTATATTTTATAGCTCACATAATATTTATTGATATTCACAGTAAAATCAGGTGCATCATCTGAGCCACACACTAGTTTTGTATTAAATATGCATATATTCTTGTAGGAACTTAAAGTCAGTTTTTTAGGAGCTTAATAATGTATAAATATGTACATTTTGCTCAAATAAAATGCAAATGATGAAAAAGTTGCACATTTAGTTGAAAATAGCAAATTTAATTATAAAACATTTTTTTGATGCAATTTTTAATTATAAAATATGCACAAAATTGAATCACACTTATTCCAAGCAATATGGTTGTTGATTAGAAATAAATTGTTATGAATTCCTTATCATTTAAACATTGTGTGTGTATTTTTTTCAATAAAATTGCAACACATCTCATTTTACGGTTGACAATATATTATTTCAATCACTGATATGTATCCTCTTAATTATCAATAAATAACAATTACAGCAAAAAAAAAAAAAAAAAAAAAAAAAAAAAAAAAAAAAAAAAAAAAAAACCCAAGATTTATAGAAATTTGATATTATATATGTATGAATACATAAAATGAAGCAAATTTAACAAGGTTTCACTTGCTTATATTTCTCTTTACCAATAGAATATAAAATTTAGTCAAGGTAAAAAAATCTGTGAATAGTGGCATAGTATTTTAACTTGATTGCTTCTTAAATAATTAGGTGGAGCCATTAGAAAAATGTTGTATGATTGTACATCCATCCAAGTTAGGAACATTGTTATTTCAAATTGCTTACTCCATACAAACAATTTATATGAATTAATGTTTGTTCATGGTATATGACCAAAAATGGTTTTTTTATACTCTACATAATATTATACAATAAAATTAAAATTTCCTATAAAAAAAACAATAAAATTATGTTACTAACGAGGGTGTGTGTGGTCAGGGGTAGCAACACCAGTAGTGACTTTTGCAACATCAACTGCAGATGCCTCAGGCTTTTTCTTGGTGTACAACACAGAGTATCCAATGATACCAGCAACAACAACACCTCCAATGGCTAATCTCAATGGACAAAATGGTAAATTCCTTCTTTGGTGTAACACTTCACCTGGTGCCTTTTTTGTTGCTCCGTTTCCTGTTCCTTTGTTGGCCATAACTTTTCACTTGTAGACGTTATTAAACTTCACGTTATTAAAATTATTTAAGGAAAATTTCTAGTCATATGCATTTGTTTAAATTTCTTTAATATGATTTAATTTATGGTGCCTTATTATATATGTTATCACCGAAAAGTGAGGAACTAATATAATTTGTTCACGATTTAATATGTCAACATATGTACACATGGTAGATATGAGCTATGAGACTTGGTCTTGAATAAAAAAAAGTGGCATCTAATTTGCCTAATGTTTTGCCTCAACCATAAGTTAAGTTTTGAGCGAATGGTTGTTGTGCTTTCCTCTTTCTTAATAAAAGTTCCTAATTTATGAAATAGGAGTATTAGTTTATTCTATGCCATGCGTATTTTAAAAGTTAATAATTTAATTAATTTTTTATAATATATATAATTCTAAACTCAACAACTAACATTAATTATGAGCATTCTATCGGATAAACTTGAGCAAGATTGAAAAAAGGATGTTAAAAATCACATTACATGTTACTTGGGACGAAAATCAAAATCTTAAACTTATTATATTGAAATTAAATCTTCAAATGTGATATAAATAAAGTTAATTTGTATAAAAATAATGCTTCAAATGGATCACAGTACATTTTATGGGGTTAGTAGTCAAATTGTATCAACCATCATTTTGATACTTAATCCAATGCCAAATTCATAATTTTAGGAATCTTGACACTCAATCCTACCAATCTCAATGTTAAATTAAGCCCTAATTTATTGTGAAACAAAATTTGAAAGTGAAATCTCTTCTTTTTCAGTTTCACTTTTATTTTTCTTGCAGGTTAAGAAATTGTATTTACTTGTTGGTCAGGTTCTATTTAATGTTATCCTATTTCTTTTATATTATCACTAGCTAGACGGATCATATTAATCAGTCATTAGGGTTGTGTCTTTCTCAAAGAACATCATTACGAATTTCGACAATATTGACCTTTTTTCGCTTACAATTGCTATTCGTTAACACGATTATTGTTGGGTTTAGTATTGCCTCTTGGTGTGTACTCTATGTTTTTGCTCTTTCAATTTTCCTTTATTTCACATTGGGGCTCTCATTATTTTAAATAATTGGGTTTGTTTCAAAGTAATGCTCTGTTTTAAATAATAATTTATCTTTTCAAGGTAATTAATTCATAAATTTTGAGCTTCCTATCTAGTATTTTTCGGAAATTCATGGGGTAAAAAATGATGAAAGGCTTCCGCAAAATATATTCAGAAAAATAGATTAAAATTATTCTAGTGATTCATGGAAACAATTATAAGAGTGCAAGTTGTTGCTGGTGTGTTGGTGAGGTGAGGGGCTATGTAGTGGGTGAGAGGAATAAGGTGTGTGATTTGAAGGCTCAAAAAGTAGTACAAGGCCTTAAGTGTTGGCCAAAAGTCCAAACAATTGATTTGTTAAGGAATTATCCATAATTATTGCACTTCCTTTGTTTCATATTACTTGCAACTTAGCACATGTAAATAATCAAATTAATTAAAATAAATTTAACATCGGTAACATATAATCTTTGTCTTGCTTGTGTTTCATTTATTTTACCTTTTTTATTTTGTTGGTTTACACCTTTTAATCTTTTCCTTAAACTAGGGTGGCTAATGCCATAGCTAGTCATATTCGAAAGTTATTTTTGTTTAGCCTTATGTCACAATTATAATTGTTATAGAATTGATGAGAGAAAATATGTAAACAAATATTTTAGGAGTATAAATATCCGCACACTATTATTAAGGGTTGAAAAAACAATTAATTTTAATGAGGGCAAATAAGTAAATAAACATTTTAGAGGGTATAATTGTCCAAACCCTATTCATAAGAGTTATCTCAAACTTTTAAAAGGTAGAGATTGCGGCTAAAGTGTTATGCTGCAAGTAATGTGAAACATAAAATGATTTGATTGTATCTTAGCAACAAGAATCTCATTAAAAGAATATGAGTATGATTGAGAGAGATGACCAATCTATTACATACTATTAAAGGCGAAACTAAGAAGAACACTTGGCAACATATAATTAAAAGTTCACCCTTCAAAACTACATGCTTAAGAAAAATCATTGCTACATAAAAAGAAGGTTTGTAGTATTGTACCTAAATTATGACTTTTACTCTATTAAAAAAAAAAAAAAATTATGACTTTTACTTTGTACAAATTCTAAAGTAAATTTCCTAAACATCAAATTGCTCATTATAACTATTACATGTTTAATTATTTTCTCTCGCATATTTTTTCATACTTTTTAATCCTTGGTGAACCGATAGATAATATTTACACCATTTTTTTTGGTGAATGTATTATCGTTATAATTATTTAGCAATCGTGCATTGCACGGGGTTTGATATAGTATCTTAATAAAAAAATCAAGCGAAAGCAACCTGAAAGACATAAGGAAAAGCAAGGAATTGGAAAAGTAGCAGGAATATCCAATGCGAGCTACTGGCAACCAGGGAGGGAATTATTAATGTTCAAAGACTCTTATCACAACTGGAGATTAAGACAGACAACAAGATGAGTATTCCTAGCATTGAAGAACCCAAATAAGGCACCAAAAGAAGTGAAGAACCTAATCCTTAATATCGTTCAAATATATTTATTTTTGTTGCTGTTATGTTCTAAGTCTGTAGTCACTAGAGCTCATAATCTAACCAATGCAGCTAGAAGAGGGAGGAAATACAATTTTCTCAACTTGAGAAATGTTGTATGTTTCTCAAAGGGTATTTTCATCTGTTTGGTAAAATAAGCAAGGTTATTTTCGTTTTGGCCTTGTATAGTTGTATCTCTAGTTCTCTACCAAAAAAAAAAAAAAAAAAAAAAAAAAAAAAAGAGAAGAAAAGTAAGGCAACAATTACAAGTACTCCGTAGTAAAAAGATAAAAAAAGTTGTTCTCATGAATGTAAAATCGCCAACAAAGTTGTTTAAAATAACATAATATTGCATACTTTCTATAATGAAAGAAAACTATCGTAAGGTTCACCAGGTCTCTCTTTCCTTCCAACCCTCCCCTCACATATTTTCCCTAATAATCGAAAATTTTCCAATCGCCATATACCAGAAACGATTAAAGCTTCAATTTAGCAGATTTAACATTGAATTCACGCCAATTCATCCTTCAACAAGAAATACCGGGTGCAAAGCCCTTCAATTTCTTCAAACATCTATGAATCTGCTGTAGAATTGGAATCAACTTGAATATTTGCATCCAATCGTTCATTCATTATCATCAGTTTGCTGAAATGAGGCCAATTAGGCTTCCTGAACCTCCCACTAGTCCCAGGGGCATGCCGGAGATCTTCGAAGGAGGTGTTTTTGGTGTAATTCGACGTGCCGTCATTATCGGCAATGGATTCCCAGGTGCAGAAAACCAGTGTGTTGGCTTGGCTCGTGCTCTTGGGCTCTCCGACAACCACCTCTTCTATGTAAGTTTATTTTAATTGGTGGAAATTTATGGGATCAATTTCTTTTATATAACTGGCGACTTTAGTTATCTTATTGTTATTATTGGTCTTTGTGAATCATCAGTCATGTGCTTTTCTTAATTTCCATTTCCATCATTTAGTGTCTAATTATGCTTGATTGAAGGGTTTGAGGCATGGAATTCTCTACTCATTCTCTTGTAAGTTGTAACTAAGGCTAGGCTTTCCATCATCACCAACTGAAATGTAAATGCTAGATATCTTACAGTGAGGTGATGCATGAGTGTGTGAGACGGACAAAGACGATGCCAATAATTGTTCGTGTATTTTGAGGATAACTATATGTCTAATATGTCTTGGAGCTGTTAGACATCTGATGCTCTGTATGTGTGCTTTGGTTGCTTCGTAATAGAATATAAGCAGTAGACTATGAGTCTGTGACAACGTATTTACCTGTTTGTTTTCCTATATGTGGTTGTTAGAGGTCCGGATTTCCTTTCTTTTTTGGCCAAAGAGTAAAACAAACAGATGCTTAGGTCCCTTTACTGGTAATCATTGCTGGTTTTGATGACAAATACATGAACTAATACTATTACACTAGTTCACGTACAACAAATTATCTTCCTTGAAAGGCTAGAGATTTCACAAGGACTAGAGATTACATTTCCTCTTCATACCTAAACGAGATTTGGAGTTATTCTTCCTTCCCCTTCCTTTTATTGGCAATACGATGACCGTTGGCTTTCCTGTTATGGTTCTTTTGTTATTCCGGGGAGTTGTGCTTCTTCTTGGCTTGTTACATGTAGATATGTAGGATTACTTTTACTCGGTGCCACTAGACTCTGCCATGGACTAATATCCGCATCTTTGGCTGCCGTAGAACCTCCAAATGTGAACTAATTACTTCAGGACCCATGTTTCATCCAAAATGATTAAAGGTCTGGGTTTGCTGCTCAATCAAATTACATTAATTTGGGACCTCCAATAACATATTCGTTTTTGGGTTGAAGGCGTGAACCTGTTAAAAGCCATTGAACAAGAGTGATAAATTTGTTTTCCTTTCTTTGTTTGAGATTGTTGATATCACCCTAGAAATTCATGCAAAAAGATGGATTCTTTTTGTTCACGAAGATTGTTTTTCTAGTTGAAGATAAGATACACATGGGGGACCAAATCAACACCCATGATATCCTAGGTTATAGAGTGCTGCCTTGCTGGCATATCTACACTGCATTGAATCATAATGCACTTAAATTTGTTTACTGTAATGGACTTTGTCATGAAGGGCCTGAACCCTTCAGCACTCCTATGATCTTAATTGTTGTATAAGGGCAACAAGGGCTGAAGACTTCCAGTCTACTACAGTTGCGAGTACTTCATCATTTTTTTTTAGATTTGAACTTTTGACCGTGGGATTTTGAAGGGCCACATTTGATTCACAATCCTATCTCTCTGTAAAATATATCCCTCCATGATCTCAATTATTGTATAAGGCCAACAAGGGATGATGATTTCCAATCTATTCCAGTTGTGAGAACTTGATCATTCTCTTAAGATCTGAGCTTTTGATTGCAGGATTTTGAAAGGCCACATTCTATTAACTAAAAAATGTTTTCTTTCTTGTATCACAATAATAAGGTTTTGTTCTAGTGATCTCCTCACATTGCTGGAAAATTAGTTGGGGATTTAAAGAAATAAAACTGATGGTTGCCGAAGTGATGGCAAGTCACTTGACTCACTTCTTGTAAAGTGAATTCTTGCTATCTTCTTTGAACTAGCTCAACTGAAGTGTTGTACTTTGCCATTATTGCTTGGAAAGTTGGAATGCAGTTTCATAATGCACAATTACTGGTTTGGCAGGTTCATTTCTTAGCATTTATAGAACTAGGATCAATATCCTGTTCTCATGATACCATTCTCTATAATTTGCTAGCAGTTTCAGCTGTTTATGAGAATGCTAATGCTCTAGTGATCCGTTTTTATGTTATAAACTACTTCCTTTGTTTTTTTTTACTTGACCCGCTCACTTTTACATTATTCACCATCCCTCCTTTGACCTTGTTTGTGAATTATATGTAAGGGAAAACATATTCCCGTGGGATCTTGTTAGAATCATCTCAATAAGTACTATCACAATATATAATTTTTATAATTTTTACTTGTAGAGGATTAAATTTATTGATGGTTAAAATTGTGCATAAGCAAGCGTAATAAAGGAAACAGGTTAAGTAAAAAAGAATGAGGAAGTATTAGTTTTCGTGACAAGCTTTTGTGATACACATAATGTTCGGATATTGATGTTACCAAAGGCAACATGTTGGACTTGGGTTTTATCTTGCTGGATCCAAATTCGACCCGGTCAATAATAAGACACTCAAACCCTTGATTCCACTCTGACTTTGTCTTCATATGCTTGAATCCAAGTTTGTTAGGGTTAAACTCTATCTCCTCCAAACATGACTAGATTCTTGTTCCTCTCTTGATATAAATCTATATATCACATGTGAATTTCCAAAAGAATGTAGAAAGGAAAATAACTGAATCTAAATATCTCTTGAATATTCAAATAAAATGCATATTAAACTTTTAAAGTCATAAACTTATCTACTACCTTCATTTATGAAAGCTCTTAACACTTTATGGTTGTCATTTTTCTAAAAGTTCTTAAGCTCTTAACACTCTCACTTTATTCCATTTTGGCAAAACTATTTTACTACATTAATCTTCTTACCTCACAATATTTACACCTCCCACCCATTTTCTCTTACTTTGAACACCTTTTCCTTACACACATCCCTCCCTAACTTTGTCCACATTTTTCCTAACCTTAATTTTTGTGTAAGTAGTAAACGTTGAGAACTTTTGGAATCAGAGATAATACATGTTTTACATAAATAAGGTCAATAAAGAAAGAAAAGAAAGCCAGGTTGCTTTGTCCAGGTCTCCAGGACCTTTAGAAGTCAGGTCCATCTGTGCTTACTAATTTGGGTGCATCAATGTGTTTTGATATATATTGAAGGAAATGGCTCAAGTCATTGGCTTTTATGTTGCTTGGTATGTTGACCCTATGCATCCACCCAGCATTTACTTCGCCAATTATGGAGGGAGATGAAACTTTGGGTTCTGACAACATTTATATACTAGAGAGGAGGGGTGAGGAATGGTTAGACTGTAAAGTTTTAACATAAAGGCAATTCTACAGAGAAGAAAACATATGGTAGTTACTGGAACTAATTAGTTTTTGGATTGGACTTGGAGGTTGGTTGGGTTTTTTCAGTTTTCTTAGGGTCCAAATCCGGCCTTCCTTCTAACAGATTTAGATTTGCTTATCTAGGATCTGTTCAAATCTTCAGATCAGGTCAGACTTTAATCGGATTTGGAGTAAATTGCCATCACATGCAGATTACATTGAACATATGCTGCAGCCTACAGCTGTTGTATTATCATGTTTGTGCAGAATGGTGAAACTAACTCTATTTTCTTGATTATGCAGCGTGTTACAAGGCCCAGAGGAGGAATCAATGAGTGGCTTCATTGGCTTCCTGTTTCGCTCCATAAGAAATTGGATTACATCATTAGACAAATGAGTGTTTATTCACATTTTTGGTTTGCGTCAAGAGAGAAGAAATCTATTTCCCTTTCTTCAACTACCTTTAGCAGTGTTGGCTTATCATCTGTTTGGGAAGCTGATGTGAAGCAGATAGTGAGCATGGCCCATAAAACTTTTGAAAAGTATACTCTTGTTCCTCTTAATCATACTCCTATTTTTGTAAGTGCAACAATTGACTTGCACATAGTTTTAAGCATTTTATTTGACTTTGTTAGAACTTAGAATAATATGTAAGTGGGGTTTGTTGGGGAATTAAAAATTATAAAAAAGAGATAGTGGGTGAATAATTTATTTAAAAGTAAATAATGTGAGAGAAAGAGAATAATAAATAAAAAGTAAAAGTGTGAGTGAAGAGAGATATATTAAAAAAAGTATAGAGGATTTCTATTTTTGGAATTGTTTACTTAACAAAAAAAAAGCTGTTTATGGAATTTTTTGCTTCTTAAAAAAAATAAAAATAACGGAGGGAGTATTGAGTAAACTATTCCTGTTTTTAGTTCTGACCTGCATGGCTGTGAACATTAAGTGGAGCTTGAAGGAAATGATGTCTGTGAAGCATAATCATAATTTGGATTTGGTGTGCCTTCAACAACTTTTTTATTTATTGTATTGTCTTGGTCCAAGCTAGATAAGAGACGCGTGATTGAACCAATGAAAACCAGCTTCTGAATTTACAGTTTAGCCCAATCAAATGGTTTAAATTTGTCCTACAACCCATAAGACAGAGGGATTTGGAGGGGGGAGGGGGATGGGGATGAAAGAGTTTAGGAGATACAGGGAAAAATCTCAAGATTTCTTGTGCAACGGACTAGCGTGTTTCACTCGAGAAATAGATAGATTAGAAGGAAGGTTGTCGTTTGTATTAGCTTAAAGCTTGCGTAAATGCGTTAATGGCTTTAGGCCATCACTCTCCAATGTCAAAATACAAATAATTTCTGAACAAACTTCTCTATTCTAGACCACTTCTATTTATACTACTACTACATTGCAAAGGGTTGGCAAACAAGGCCTTAATTGCTACAAGTACTATTCTTGTCTTCTTCTTACTTTACCACAGTAAAAATCAATAACCAAGGTTGCTTGTCTGCTGCACTTTTAACGGTCCTCTGCCTGGCCTTGTAGTGGGCACGGCTTGTTGTTGTTGTTGGTCTGCTGCTGCTGCTTCTTCTGTAGCCTGCTGTAGGTTAAGATAGTGGGTGGTGGTAGTGGGTTCATTGCATCTTGCAGGACTGGATACAAAAACATTAAATAATTTACCTCTAGGCCTAACTTTCCTAGCTATAAAGAAAGCAAAGCAATTGTGTGCTCTAAGCTAATTGAAATTGTGAGATTGTGCTACTGAATACTGGTCATTTTCAGACAGAAAGGAAATGCTGGAGTTCATGGAACTGTAGTCACTGATATCAAAAGAGCGTAAATTTTTTCCTTCTACGGGAAGGCAATAGAAAATGCAGCTTACTTGATCTTCTTTTTGTATATGCTGGGTAGCATTTTGGACTTGTGATCTATATCAAACAGTGTGTCTTCTTATGTGCTTCTGACTACATCTTTTTGTATTGCTGATCTTTGTTAACATAGACATCATCTCCAATTCTTGCTATGCTGGGCTTTTCTTTTTAATGGTAGTACATTTTCGAAGGCATCTCTGTGTTTAGAACTATTGCTCACTTAGTAGCATTAGAAATTGTTGAATTGCTATATTTTTTCCATGCCTAATATGGAATATATTTTCTTGCAGGGATGGCCCTTTATTGGTGATTGCATCTGGAAGGGATACAATATCTGTTTCTAGCTCCATCAGACAGCTGGCATCTGATTATGTGTTTGTTGTACAGGTTTGCTGTTGGTGTTTCCTCTCTGCCTTCCAACTTTGTGACTTTCTTGTGAGTTTTGGTCTGTTTTCTTCAACATAAATAAATTAAGATGATCAATGGGGAAATTAATTTGCATACTTTGGGGTCGAGACTTCAATTTTGTACATCTCATGAAATTGCTTTATGGTGTGGACTTATAATGACTAGTATATAGAATTAATGACTTAAATGACCTGTAAGCATGCTTGCATGGTGTTACCTCTTTTTCTGAAAGTTGTTAATATTTTGTTTGCACATAAATTGAGGCAATTGGAGATAATGTGGTGAGTGGGTGTAAGAAAAAGGTGCGTGGATGAAGTAAGAATGATAGAGTGTGTAAAAAGGTAGCCGAATTTAAGAAATGGATAAAGTAAGAGAGAGTGAATGAAAAGGTGTAAATATTGTGGGGTAAGAGGGTCAACTTAGTTAATGGGGTTTGCCAATTCTAAAACGGATGAAAATGGAAATGGTTAAGAACTTTCAAATATTGAGGTAAATCATTTGACTTTTGTTGATTTCCCTCTTTGAATATTCCAACTGCTGTTTGATACATTTTCTATCTAATGGCTGATGAATTTGCTAGTTTGCTTTGGAAACAATGATCATGTCGCACTTGATTTTTCCTTAAATAAGTGTTCTAAGGCATGTACATCATGCTTCTCTTTGGGACTGCAGATTCAACATCCAAGAACACGTTTAGATAGATTTGACATGGTTATTACACCTCGTCATGATTACTATCCTTTAACTCCTGAAGCACAAGAGCAGATTCCTCAGTTTCTCCGACCATGGATTACTCCACGTGAACCACCTGGTAGGAATGTGGTATGTTCCTGGCTGGATTTTCCTGGTGTTCTCCGTTAATTTGCCTTTTCTTGATATTTTGAATATGCAAACCTTTTGTTGATTCATATTTATTGATGTTTGAATCTTGAGTTTAGGTCCTCACTGTTGGTGCTTTGCATCAAATTGATTCTGCTACCCTACGAAGTGCAGCGAAAACATGGCATGATGAGTTTGCTTCTCTGTCTAGGCCATTGCTTGTTGTCAATATTGGGGGCCCCACAAGTAAATTACTCAGCATTCTCTTTGTAGCCTTTTTTGTTCTCTAATGTCTGTTCTCTCCACCCCATTTACTTATTTCAGAAAAGCTTAATACTTCCTCTGTTCCACAAATATTGCAACAAGGATCAAATTACGCATATCAAAGCGCATTTTATATGTTAAATATCTATAATTATATAAGAGTAAAAATTATAAAAAGTTGATATTGTGAAAGTATTTTAAGAGATGAATCTAACAAGACCCCACATGACTATATTTTACTTTACGTATAAATCATAATTTGCGGTCAAACAAGCATGATAAATAGTGCAAAAGTCCAGCTGTTGCAATATTACTAGAACGGAGGAAGTAAGATTTATTTAAGTTGAGATTAGTTTGGAAGACTCACAAACAAGCTCTATTATATTTCAAAATAGTTGCAGATAAGAATAAGTTTTAGACCTGTTGAAGAGAACGGGTTATCAGTCATATTGCTGATCATAAGAAACTTCCTTAGTCAAATATGGTAAGTATCATAGCAAAGGAAAATGGAGGCAATAATTCAAGTGAGCAGTGGTTAGAGGTTGTCCATTAAAGAAAATTAGTTTGGTAGGAGTGGATTGATTGTCCATTAAAGAAATATTAGTTTGGTTGGAGTGGATTGAAGTACAAAATTTTTATTGCCTAAGCTCTTTATTGTAGTTTAAGTCTTGGATGCTTGTGCTCTATTCTCCTTTATTCAACCTGTAAGACTGACTCAGCTTCCAAACTCCTTGACTCCTTGTTTCATGTTGTTCTGATGGCACCTGGCAAAAAGATCCGACTCATGTATGTTAACTCAAATATTTGACTACTTTTCTGGCCAGAGCTGTTTTGTGGGAGAAACTTCAGATGTAGGGATCTTTTTTCTTTCGAAAATTCTAAATCTTTGGACTGAATTGGTAGCTTACATATGTTTTCCATAGAATTGCAAAGAATGCAAACTGAATGGGGGCTACATTGGTGTATGGTCAGTCACCACTAGTAGTTGGCTGCCATTGCCCCTGCCAATTTAAGGCTTCTGGGTGAAAACGCATAATAAACAGGAATTTCATCCTGACATATCTCATCATTGGCTCATGGGTGTTTGCCATTGTTAATTTTATTAGTCTTAAAGTTCCCTATCAAACCAAAGCTAAGTGAAAGGGGCTAAAAAGGATTGAAAAGCAGTAAAATGATAGTAATGTTGCATGGAAATATAATATGTGCTGTAATGTCTTTATTTCTGGTATTAATCTTGAGTTCATACTAGTTGGAGTTGTGTTGACTACTTAATACACGAAACAAATTTCAGGAAAAGATAGAAACCCCTGGACCACACAATTCTATACTCACAGATTCTTCAAGGAGAAAAAGCATGCCAGAGCCAGACCTTATTTCCATTTGTTTCATTTATTATTTTGTTTTTTTTATTTTTATATAACTTGCCTTTAACGGATGCCTATTTTTAAATGTTATCTTATTCCTAATGCTGAAATCTATATTTTATTAGTTATTGAGTAATGACCTATTTTGGCTGAGTTCTATTGAGTAATGACCTATTTTGTTAAACACGTATTGTGGCCATCTTTACACCTTTCCCTTGTTTTTATTTTGAAATAAAATAGAATATTTACAGTGAGGTTTTTGGTGTTTTATTGGGAGGAGACAAAAGTGTGGGCCAGAGATGGCCCTAGATGAACATATAGCTTTAACAATCAAGTACACATTTTAGTTACAAGATAATTTAAAAAGGTTACACTGCATACAAAATAACAAATAGAGCAGAGGTAGTATTTACTATACATTTCTATGTAAATAGCTAATACATGCAGCTAATAAACATCTAACAACTAATTGCTTATTTCCAAGAAGGGCCTTTCAGTTTTGTGAAGCAAAAAAAGAACTATATGTTCATAATATGATTTTATGCTAAAAAAATTTGAAACTGTATGAACTATATGTTTGAAACTATATGTTCTTAATTTATAACCTATTTGGTTATTCAGGACCATGATATAATCGTATTTGGGAGAGGAGGGTTCATTTTGGTAGGGTTCATTTATATTCAAAAACTGGTGCTTATTTTTTCTTTTGCTCTATGCCTTTTGCCTTCTGCTTCATTTGGTAGGTAATGTGTTCTTTGACTTGCAATGTATTCTTATTTTAGGCCATTGTCGATATGGTGCTGATCTTGCGAGACAACTGATAGTATACTTACAGAATATTCTTTTGAGCTGTGGTACCATAAGAATATCTTTTTCAAGAAGGACCCCAGAGAAGGTATTTCTGTTTGCTCTCTCATTCAAAACACTTTTGTGCTACTTCATTTTTAAATTCTCACAATATTTGGTGTCTCATAAAGGTTTCCAAGATCATATTGAAAGAATTTGGAGATCATCCTAAAGTTTACATATGGGATGGTGAAGGTAATCTATTCATCTTTATCCTTATCTCAAGGTGGTGATTATAACAGTGTGTTTGGACTTTGGAAATCATTATAATGTGGAAATGTGAGGACAAGTAAAAATATAGAAGTTTCAAACTTTCAAATATTTATTAAAGTGATCGTGCAGTGTCTCCACTCCTACATTGTTTATAATTTCTCTCCACTCACATCTTTTATACTACGTATTTTGAATAAACTATTAACTCACTGTCATTTTCTCACGACGTTTAATCCTCCAATAAACCCCACTCGTATAATATTTTATCCAAATCATATAAGGCTCCTAAAACTCTGCGCGCAGCCTAGTGTAGTACTTGAAAAAAAAAAAAAACAAAGGGATTGAATTGTAAATGATGCAAAGGTAAGTTTATGGGAAGGAAATCCTTCTGTCTTTTATTTTGGGTACCTTTGTATCTATTCAGCTTTACCCTGATTTCTTCAGTTTGTTGAGTTACCATACATGCTGTGATTATTCAACTTCAGTAACCTAACAAACATAGTTGTTGTGCTCTATTTCATTTTTCCTTTTCACCTGTCCTTTAGAGCCAAATCCACATCTAGGGCATCTAGCTTGGGCCGATGCTTTTGTCATCACTGCAGACTCAATCAGTATGCTGAGTGAGGCTTGCAGCACCGGGTAAGTTTCTCTCTCTCTCTGTTTTTTTTTTTTTTTTTTTTTTTTTTTTTTTTTGGCATGCTATCCAATGTTTAGGCTGAGAGAAGAAAGTGTGGTTTACAGGAAGCCTGTTTATGTGATTGGATCTGAGCGTTGTAAGTGGAAATTTGCAGACTTCCACAATACCCTCAAGGAGAGAGGCCTTGTTAGGCCCTTTACTGGTTCCGAGGATGTAAGTTTGCTTTAATGCCCAGAGCAATATTTAATACTATATTTTGCTAAATTTCCTTTACTTCTATTGATTATTCATTATTTTGGTAACTTTAAATATTTTTGAGCTATACTTTGCTAATTTTAGATATTTATGACCTAGAGGATGAAGTTGCAAATTAATGATATGAAAATAACAAAAGAAAAAAGAGGAAGTGGATAAGATATTAAGAGATTAATCCAATATTGCTGTACCACTAACAAAAGAAACAAGGGAGATGAAAAAGAGACATGCAAAACAGGAAGATCTTCAATACTTCCCCCGTGTCTTGATTGATGCATTATATTCTTTTTTGGGATGTTCACATAGATGCATCACTTTTTTTTAGTAAGGTTTTATGTGCGAAATTACTACCTTGTCCTCAAAATAAGTGGGGACTAATGGCAAATATGTAAATCAATTCACTCTCTTTTCTTCTTATTGGTTTGTGTGCTAGTTCTCTATGATGCATCATGTGAGAAACGGTGGAAGTACAACACAAGAAATAAAAAATACTAAATATTTGGGATTGCCGACATCTCTTGCACATAATTTCTTTTCCCCTTTCAACATGTTTAATGAAGACAAAAATGTATTTTAAACTAGCAAAAAACCAAAATTTTATTGGAAAAATTTACAAGAATAATACAAACTTTGCGTGGTCTTCTTTAAACAAGACAAACTTTGATTATTCCTAAACAAGATAAACTTTGATATATATTTTCTTTAAACAAGAAAATTTACCGGTGCTCGTCGAATAGGTCACCATTTGATTTATATTTATTTTGTATTTTTTATATTATGTATTTTGTATTTACATTTTTTTTTTATAGTTTTTTTAGAAGATAAAAAATTAATAATTACCCTCTCCCTTTCCCCCTCCCCACCGTAGCTCACCTCGAATTCCCTCTCCCTCCTGTCCTTAAACCCTAAAAACCCCCTCCCCGCCTTTCCACCTTAACCGAAAACCTGCCCACCTCGAAACCCCTTCGTTGGCAGCCTAAACCCTCTCCCACACGTCGCCGCCGCCCAACTTGCCGAAAACCACCACCTCGAAACCCTAAAACACCTAAATCGAAACCCTAGATTTTGGTTTTAGGGTTTCGACGTACGTGGTGGTTCAGTGGGGTGGAGATGGAACAGGGAGAGGCGAATTAGGTTCGCCGACGCGGGGGAGTGGGGTTTGGGCGCCGGCTGGTGGGTAGGGGAGGGTTTTTCGAGCGAGAGAGGAGGTTTTTATGGTGCGGGGAGGGTGGTTCAAGGGAAGGGGAGGCGCGCCGGTGGGGGTCGAGGTCGGGGGTGGTGCCGACATGGGGTTCAGGGCGAAATCCGCGCCGGGGGGGTGTCGGGACAAGGTGTGGTTGGGGTGGTTTTTTTTTTTTATTATTTTTATTTTTTTTAATAGTTAATTAAATAATTATTTTAAAATTAAATAATTTAAAAGGAAACCAATTTTATGTTGCCACGTGGCATTATTAGCCTTAATTACTAACGGTGTTAACGTCCGTTAGCCATTAATAGCATGTTGTGACATTTTCATAAAACTGAATGGTGTATGGTGAATTTGAAAAATGTTGGTGGTAAAATTAAAACTCAGGGGTATTTGGTGAAAAAACTGATAAAAATATTAACTCGTATAAATAATAAAATTGTAAGATTCCAAAACTTTGAATAAATTTTGTTTCTTTGTTAATCTTCTAATAAATTTGGAAAAATTTACAAGAATAATACAAATTTTGCCTGGCCTTCTTTAAACAAGACAAACTTTGATATGTATTTTTTGTAAACATGACACAACTTGTATGTGACCTATTATAACAGGTTACATACAGGTTATAAGTATTAATAATTAATAATTTAATTAACTTACTTATTATACGTAATTATACCTAATCATTTTTTTAAAGTTAGATCAAATCCTAATTAAAACCTATCTAACATAATTAACTAATCAAACTATTTTATCTAAAAAAAACTAATCAAACTATCTCAAAATCAATAAATAATTGTATCTAAAATAAAAATAATTATTACTTGTATTGTTAATATTATTAATAATACCATTTTTATTGTATAATTATTTAACCAACCCCAATTCCGAGCGAAGTTCAGCGAGCGGGGTTTTGTGGGTGGGTTGCAGATGGGGTTTTCGAGTAGGTTATCGGTGGTTTCAATGGGTTATATTTGGGGGTTTGCAGTGGGTCAGCATTGGGTATGCGGTGGTAAAATGGGTGGTGAGTTGGTAACTTGGTGATTGTGGTGGTGGGATGGGTTTCGGGGTTACTAGGGTTTTTGGGGTTAGTGGTTTTTTTTTTTTTTTTTTTTTTTTTTTTGTGTGTGTGTGTGAAGAATTTTTATTTTACAAGTTGCCACATGACACAATTAACGTTAATGACTAACTGAGTTCACAAAAAAGGTGATATTTTTGTGAAACTTATGGTTATATAGTGAATTTGAAAAATATTGGTGGTATTTAGTAAATTAAGTTAAAACTCAGGGGTATTTGGTGAAAAAACCGTATTGTTATTTATTTGTTTGTTTTTTAAGGTCCTTTGGAAGATGATCTATGGATCACTCTTTATCTACCTCCTTTGGTATTTATTTTTTTATTTTTATTTTTTATTTAATTTCTTATATGGAGCTTGCTGACCCTTCAATGGATGAAAGGTTTTAAGTGATTTCAATGGTGGAATAATGAAGGATTGTCTTAGAACTTAAGAAGGCGATGACTTCTAAGTTTGATCATAGGAGCAACAACCATAAAGCCCTTGAACAAACAGTTCGGAGCTTAACAAGAGTTCACATGAAGAAAAAGTTCCCTGTTTAATAATCAATGAACAAAGATTGTCCTCTATTCAACCAACACCACTTATGGAATCTTAAGGCCCCATAAGCCCATAACTAAAGCCCCTACTCGAAACAATCAAATAATAAGAGTAAGGTTTAACCTAGAGATCTCCTAAATATTTATAGTAAACAAAGTTTTAAGTGATCTTGATTTGCTTCATTTTTTACCACTATTTCACAGATTTTTGGCCAATATGCTTTCTTTTCTTGGATTAAGTGAAATGAAATGTGGGTTGGGTAGGGCTATAAAGGTTTTTGTTTAGGTATATTAGGGCTCTATAGGTTTTTTTATTTTTTATTTTAAGGTGTACAATCCAGTTTAAGTGCAAAAGGGGCAAAAAAAAAAAAAAAAAAAAAAAAAAAAAAGTAAAGGGATTATTCAAGATAAATGATTAACCCTGAATTTATGGCTGTTGCTGGGGGATTTAATTTTGTGAAAAGATTTTGGGTTGAGACTGCACATAGGATGGATAGTTTGGACATTGGAGGCAAATTTTCTTATTTGTGGCAGTGACCCATTTAGTCATTTACCCCAAATTACAACTTTTCTTGATATAGATAGTTGTTCTTTATGGCCTTAATCAATTCTGTTCAATCCAAGCAAGGTCTAATAGTAGTAGTAACCTGATTTTGCAAAACATTTCTATTCTGATGATCTGATATTCTTGAAATTCAGTTAACAGAGAGTTGGAGCTATCCTCCACTCAACGACACTGCTGACGCTGCCTGTAAGATACACCAAGCACTTGCTGAACGTGGATGGACTTTGCGAGCATAGAGGAGCTCCTAGGCAGTTGTGGCTCTTTGTTTTAAGTTCAATCTATTCTTTAACAATTTGTCTAATTATTCCACACATATGGGAGCAGAGGTGATGATTTATTACATATTGGTTTTTGGCATGTTAATATGTATGTTCTTTTTTGTATGGTTAGTGTTTACTGAAGTTAGCGGCCTGTAAAAATACAAGAGGGACGTTTGTCAAAAAAGAAAAAATAAATACAAGAGGAACACTTATTTTAAAATTATTGTATTGAATGCTTTACACAGTGTCTCAAAGGGGCACATATTCATATGTGATATGAGGAGTTTTGTGGTATTCCAATTATCAAGGTTTTTTTTTTTTTTTTTTTTTTTTTTTTTCCTTTCAAAAAAAATTAGTTCTCTGTATGACTTTGCTTGTACTTTTCGTTGCTTGACTTAATTCGTGTTTGTGTAAAGATGGCTGGCAAAACAACTACGGGGTATTAATTGTTTGTTCTTGCTAGTAAACAATCTTTTTTTTTTGAATGGAATAGGGAGGGATGATTTCATAAATTAATAATAGTCATTCGGCACTTACAATCATCCCTAGAAATCTAAATTCTCAATATAAGAATTAAACACCCCTAAACTAATGACATCGTTTCTGAACTGCTCCTGGATAATTTTAGATGTCTTTGCATAGTTCTTGACGGAGTTCCATTGATATATAGTCGTAAAGGTGAAAAAACTTGATTGGTCATCAAGATCTGCAAATTTATTTTCCAAATCTGCACCACTATACTAATAGACCCGTTATTTCACAAATTTGTAAGACGAATCTTTCAAATTTGTATTCCTGCACACACAAAAAACAAACAATACTAAACATCCTACCGTTAGGGAACTGACTAAACCCTACATGGAGGGACTGACTATAATCACCATACTGTTGGTGATATTTATTGGCTAAAAACATTAAATTAAAGAAGAATTTGGGGCTTACCATCGATAAAAATCGATTGCAGCCCCTAAGTTTTACTATAGTGGCTAGGTTTGAAGTGAGAGAACAGAGAAAATTTTAGGGTTTTAAGTGACTAATTACAACATGCACCTAGTAAACAATCTTAAAATACAATAACACTACCTTTGTTTGATATTATTTGCAACTTTTGTCAAAAATGGATGCTACACATTATTTGTACTCCCTCCATGTTTTAATAAGATGTTATACTTTGATCGACACATAGTTTTTGGCAATTTATTTGACTTATAAAATAAGGGAAAAATTGCAAGGAAGGGCCTTTTAAAGGGACGACCTTGTGGCAAAGGTCCTTACAAAAAAAAGGTGGCATCAAAGGTCCTTATAAGTCAGTTGGGTGGTGAGGAGGGGCCTTTGACCGAACTCCGGCGTTGACCTCCGTTTTTCGGCCAAAAAAAGTCACGTGTTGTGCACGTGACACTTAAATCAGCCTTTTTTTTTTTTTCTTTTCTTTCCTCTTTATCTTCTTCATCCCTTTCAATTCCACACCTCCATGAATGGCATTTCCGGCCACACCTCCGCCCACCACACCTCCACCTCCGGCAACAAGGAACCCCATCCCTTTCCCCCACCCTTTCTCCCTTTCAAATCATTCATTACAATGTTCCAATTGGTGCTCTCTATGCATTTTCATTGTGGCTTTCGAATTCGGCTTACATCTATTTGAGTGTTTCATTCATTCAAATGTTGAAGGCTTTGATGCCTGTTGCTGTGTATTCAATTGGAGTCATGTTTCGAGGCGAAACGATGGCGAATATGATGTCGATTTCATTTGGGGTCGCATTTGCTGCTTATGGTGAGGCGAAATTTGATGCTTGGGGTGTAACCCTACAATTACTAGATTGGTAATGATTCAGATCTTATTACCTTCAAAGGGTATTAGTTTTAATCCGATTGCATTGCTATATTATGTTGCTCCTTGTTGTTTGGTGTTTCTATCAATTCCTTGGATGATTGTAGAGTACCCAATTCTAAGGGATTCGTCGAGTTTTCATCTAGTTTGGTTTATATTTGGGACAAATTCTGTTTGTGCTTTTGCTTTGAATCTTGCTGTGTTCTTGCTTGTTGGGAAGACATCGGCTTTGACTATGAATGTTGCTGGGTTGTTAAAGATTGGTTGTTGATTGCGTTTTCGTGGTCTGTGATTAAGGATATTGTTACCCCTATAAATTTGTTTGGGTATGGGTTGGCATTTGTGGGTGTTGGGTACTACAATCACTCTAAGTTGCAGGCATTGAAGGGAGTAAGAAGATGAAGAGGAAAGAAAAGAAAAAAAAAAACAATTGAAAAAGAAGTCACGTGCCAAGCACGTGGTTTTTTTTTGGCCTGAAAATAGAAGTCAACGCCGGAAGTTGGCCGGAATTCGGTCAAAGACCCCTCCTCACCACCCAACTGACTTATAAGGACCTTTGATGCCACCTTTTTTTTATAAGGACCTTTGTCACAAGGTCGTCCCTTTAAAAGACCCTTCCTTGCAATTTTTCCTAAAATAAGAGATAAGTGGGGTAGTTGGAGTATTAGAAAATTGTACTACCTCAATTTCATATTATTTTCAACTTTTGCCGAAAATGGATGCTACATATTATTTGCGACAAATGTTTTCTTTCTTTTTTAGATTTTCATTTATTTCTCTTCTTATCACATGTATCCATATTTTTCTCTCTTCATTTTACACTCACAAACAAATTTTGTTTAGGAGTTCGTGTGTCCTCTAAAGTTGCATATAATATGAATCGGAGTTAGTAAAAGGAAGATATTGGGATTAATAGTTTAGGAAAAATTGAAACTAATAATCCCACCTTTGTCTCATCTTCTCAAAACAATCCCACATTTGCGTATTCGAGAAACAATTTCACCTTTATACCCCATATTCTCAAAACGGGCCTTTAACCGGATAATTAAATTGATAACCTGTTAAAGAAGGTTAGTTGCCATGTGTTACTTTCTGATTGGACTATTTTTATTTTTGAAATAATTATAAGAAAAACAAAAAAAAAAAAAAAATTTAATTTTAAAAAACAGATATACAGCCCCTTCTTTCTCGTCCCTCTTTCTTCTTCCCCACACCCATCTAAATGAGAAAATTCAAGTTTCTCAACATGAGAAACATATTATATATCTCAAAGGGGTAAATTTGTCATTTCAGCGAATAAATTGGCTTAAAATTGTCTAATAAATGGATAAACTGTTTTAGCAAAGCAGAAGAGCTTTAATGGAGAAGCATGTATTTCAATGGTGAAATTGTTCACGACAATCGACTTCAATGGAGGAGAATAACATTCATACCCTTTGGGGTTAACCATACCATAAATTTCTCCATTATTTCTTAGGATTTTCGTTAAATTCGGCGGCTTGAATTACGATGGTGAAAGCAGTGGTTCAGTGGTTCACGAGAGGAGAGCTTGAGGACGAAGATGGAGATGGAGGTTTATGGGTCGTGGTTTGGGATTGAGGATTGTGGAAGAAGATGGAGGTGGAGGTGGAGGTTTGTGGGTCGTGGTTTGGGATTGAAGAAGAAGATGGAGACAGGTTGGATGAGAAGATGATGAAAGAAGATGGAAAAAAAGTACAACAATAAATAATAAAATATTAACAAAGTTCAGTTTATTTACACTTATGCCATTTTGAGATACATGACTTGTTTCTCAATTGAGAAACTAGGACAACCTCCATCTAAACCACCACCCCATGCCGGAGTAGCCTACTCCTCTTCTTTGCTGGAGAAGCTATACCCCTTTCCCCAGCGAAGCTAACCACCTCTTTTCCCGCCAAATTGTTTCGTGGGTGGCTGGGTTGGTTGTGGTTAGGGGTTTTAGGGTGGATGTGAACTTGTGGTGGTCGGGTTTACGTGAGGTTTTGCGGGTGGCTGGAGTTGACTAGGTTGGTTGGGTTTATGGGTTTCGGGGTGGTTGGGGTTGAACGGAGTGGTTGGGTTTAGGGGTGGTGGGGTTGAACGAGGTGATCGGGTTTAGGGGTGGCTGGGGCTGAACGGGGTAGTCGGGTTAGGGGTTTTGGGTTGCCCGAAAAATTTTAAGTTAAGACATCAATCCAGAACGAATCGGAGCTGTGTTTTGTGAAGTGGAATGTATGAAGATGATGATTTTGTTGTTGATGTTGTTGATGATAGTGAGGAAGAAGAAAAGGGAAATTTTTGATAGTTTGTGGGCTCCATTGGAGTGGTGTTGGAGCTTGTACCCATGGATTGAAAGCAACTTGTAGCTTTCTCTTGCTCGTGGGTAGTGGGTCAGTGGTGGGAGTAGGGGTTAGGTCACTTAGGTGGTGATGTGGTGGTGGTTATGGAAGGGTGGTGGTGGTTATGGTGGGTTTTCATGAGAGGGGGTGGTGAAATGGGAGGAGAGAGATTTAAAAATAAAATTAAAAATTTAACTTGTTAAACAGGTTGTAGGTAAAATGGCTCATTTTGAGAATATGGGGTATAAAGGTGGGATTGTTTCCAGAATATACAAAGGTGAGATTATTTTGAAAAGATGAGGCAAAGGTGGGATTATTAGTTTCAATTTTTCCAATAGTTTTTTTTAAAAAAAAAAAATTAATAATAGGGTTTAGGGTTTAGGGTTCAGGATTTTTGGGTTAAACTTAAACCAAACCCTGAACCCTAAACTATTTTTTATGGAGAAACACATGCTAAAGAGAGTATCACAAATAAAATCTATTTTGTGTGGTTTGCTTAAGGATTATAGAGATGTTGATGGTGGCCTGGGGGAGTTGGTCAAAGTGGCGAGGTTGGTGAAAATACATGTCATGTTTCTCTTGCTAGTGGTGGTGATCGAATGGCTAACTTTAGCTCTTGGATGAATAGTAAGCAACAAAGAGTAGGGGTGAAAATTCGGGTTAGCAGGTCGGGTTCGGGTCAAATTTCGGGTCAATTTCGGGTTATGCTTAGAAACTATCAAAAATAGTGTAAAACTTAATATTATTACGAAATATGAACTTTGGGTCAAATCGGGTCGAATTCTGGTTGTTCAGGTTCGGGTTCGGTTCGGGTCGGGTTCGAGCTTCTCTCAGTAACTTCGGGTTGGGTTATTGGGTCGGGTTAGGGATTTCCAGCCCTAACAAAAAGTATTCTGAAAAATCACAACTTGATCTCTAGTTAGAAGAAAAAATGTTGACCATAAGTCCAAACTCGTTGTGTTATGGTGGTGTAAAAATTGTGGTGTTCCACGATATCTACAACTTGCCGCATTGGCTAGTAACATTCTAGCTATTTCCATATTTTCGGTTCCCTCCAAGTCCACTTTTAGTATGGTATAAAATTGATTAATCCTTGGAGGGTTTTCCTTACACCAATGACAATAGATTTCTTG